CAGTCACATCCAGCTGGCCAGTAAACTCTCTCCTGGCTGTGACTACGCCCTGTTCAAGGTAAGCTTTGTCCCCAAAAGGGACAGGGGGAAAGGGCTGGTGTCCTCCATTTGTGCTCAGGGGCAGGGGCCGGGCTGGGCAGGCCCTGGACAGCCTGTCAGGGCAGAGGTTGGTTCTGATTGGAGGAGTTGCTTTACCCCGAGCTCAGACAGAAGTGGCTTAGGCCTGAGCTGTGCCTTCAAAGATGCTTTAAGAGGGAGGAAGGGAGATGGACACTGTGGTGGCTCACGTCTGTCATCCTAGCTACTCAGGAGACTGAGATCTGAGGATTGTGGTTCAAAGCCAGCCTGGGCAGGAAAAGCTGAGCAATTCTTCTCCAATGAACCACCAGAAAATGGGAAGTGGCGCTGTGGCTCAAGTGGTAGAGCGCTTGCCTTGAGCTGAAGAGCATAGTGACCATCGCCCAGGCCCAGAGTTCAAACCCCATGACCGACCAAAACAAAAAAAGAGAGAGAGAGAAGGAAAAATGAAAGCCTGGAAGTCTGGAAGGAGAGGGAGTATAGAGGCAAAGGAGTCTGGATTTCTACTATTTTTTTGTCAGTCGTGGGGCTTGAACTCTGGGCCTGGGCACTGTCCCTCAGCTCTTCAGCTCAAGGTGAGCGCTCTACCACTTGAGCCACAGCCCCACTTCTGGTTTTCTGCTGGTTCATGGGAGATAGAGTCTCACAGACTTTCCTGCCCCGGGCTGGCTTTGAACCTCGATGCTCAGATCGCAGCCTCCTGAGTAGCTGGGATGACAGGCGGGAGCCACCAGCACCCGGCCTGTACTTCTTTGTTGTTGTTGTTGCTGCTCAAGGCTGGTGCTTTGCCACGTGAACCACAGCTCCACTTCTGACTTGATTTCTGGTGGTGCATTGGAAATAGGAGTCTCAGGCTTTCCTGCGCACTGGACTCACATCTCCAGCGGACAGTGATCCCTCCCCCCTCTTCCCTCCCCCTTCCTCCCCCCCCCCGCCCGGCCCCCTGCAGGATGGCATCCAGCCCATGTGGGAGGACAGCAGGAACCAGCAAGGTGGCCGCTGGCTGGTCAGCCTGGCGAAGCAGCAGCGCCACTGCGAGCTGGACCGTCTGTGGCTGGAGACGGTGCGTGGCTGGCTGGGCAGGGGGTGTGGCCAAGGGAGAGCCAATGGTCTCAAGGGTGTCCAATGCCATGCCCTGATTGGTGCTCTCACATCCCCCCCCTCCCCCTTGGCTGCAGTTGCTCTGTCTGATCGGGGACAGCTTTGAGGAGCACAGTAGGGAGGTGTGTGGCGCTGTCATCAACATCCGTCCCAAGGGGGACAAGATCGCCGTGTGGACAAGCGATGCGGAGAACCAGGCCAGCGTGCTGCGCATTGGGTGAGGGGCTAGCTCTGTCCTGGGGATCCGGGGAGAGGGAGAGAGGATCTTGTGTGTAGGATTGGCTTGGCATCCTCCAGAACTCTCTACATCCTCTCTCCTCCTCTTTCCTTACCCAAAAAGGGTAAAAGGCCAGGCTCCAGCGGCGGCTCCCGCCTGTCATCCCAGCTTCTCAGGAAGCTGAGATCGGAGGATCACGGTTCAAAGCCAGCCCGGGCAGGAAAATCCATGAGACTCCTATCTCCCATGAACCACTCAGACAACCAGAAGTGGTGCTGTGGCTCAAGTAGTAAGAGCGCTGGCCTTGAGCTGAAGAGCTCAGGGACAACGCCCAGGCCCTGAGTTCAAGCCTCATGACCAACCAAAACGAAATGGGTAGAAGACTGGACACTGAGAGGATTTCTATCAGAACCCTGCATTTATGGGAAAGGACTCTAGTTTGGGAGCTGAGTATGGTGGTTCACACTTGTAATCTTAGCTGCTCAGGAGGGTGAGAACTGAGGATCCTGGTTCAAAGCCAGCCTCTGGGAAGTAGAATGAATGGCTCAAGTGGTAGAGCACCAGCTTTGAGTGTGAAAAGCCAAGCAAGAGTGTGAAGCCTTTTGTCTGTGTGTGTGGGAGGGGAGGGGGATGGGAAGGAAAAACTAGGAGAAAGCCAGGGAAGGGGTGACATTTTCCAAAAAAAAAAAAATGTACTCTTTGCCTGACGAATGAAACTGTTACCCTTCTATACCTCACCTTTCTAATAACCACAACAATAAGCCGGGAGCTCGTGACTCACACCTATAATCCTAGCTACTCAGGAGGCTGAGATCTGAGGATCGTGGTTCAAAGTCAAACCAGGCAGGAAACATCTGTGAGACTCTTATCGCCAATGAACCACCAGAAAACCGGAAGTGGCACTGTGGCTCAAAGTGGTAGCGTGGTGGCCTTGAGCAAAAGAGCTCAGGGACAAGCACCCAGGCCCTGAGTTCAAGTCCCACCACAGACCAAAAAAAAAAAAACCTAAACAACCAATAAAACCAAAACACAATAAAAAAAAGAGCACAAGGCCCTGAGTTTAAGCCCTAATCTTGGCACAAGAAAAAAAAAACACAATAAAACAGGGGTCTAGTTTGTGTAAGGCATACAAAACAGATGCAGCTGTGGCTGCAATCAGGTGGAGGTCTGGACTCGAACCCAGGTCATCTCATCTCCAGGACCCACTGCTGAGAGCCTGCATCCTCTCTTCTCTGTGCATTCTGCAGGCAGGTATACAAAGAACGCTTAGGCCTTTCCATGAAGACGATCATCGGGTACCAGGCCCACACCGACACAGCCTCCAAAAGCAACTCCCTAGCCAAGAACAAGTTTGTGGTGTGAGGGGTTTGGGGCACGCCCATTCATTCACGTGCAGTTGGCCGGTGTAAGGGAGTTTGGTGGTGGGAAGACCAGACTATACCGTTGATCTTGGATTGTATATGAGATGGGGTCTCTCGCTACATTACACAATGGTCTCAGACTCCTGGGCTCAAGTGATTATCCTTAGTTTCTTGGGTATCTGGGTTTAGAGTAGTATACCACCTGCCTTCACAGTCAACAACCCCTGAAGATGACCCTTCCCTTCCCTTTCTGGGATTTGAACCCAGGGCTTTGGATTTGCTCTATCACTGGAGCCATACTCCCAGCCATTTTGCTTGCTTGCTTTTTGTTTTTGTTTTGGGCCTGGGCACTGTCCCTGAGCCTCTTGGTGCTCAAGGCTAGCACTCTACCAACTTGAGCCACAGCACACCACTTCCAGTATTTTCAGGCTAGTTTATGGGAGAATAAAGATCCTCAGATCTCAGCCTCCTAAGTGGCTCCGGCTCCATAAAAACATCCTTTAACATGACTTGGGTCTATGCCCTGGGGCTGATATGGGGAGGAGTCTGGGGAACAAAGAGGACTCGAAGGAGAAGATTAGAGGTAGTTCAGAGAACTGGGGACTTCCTATGCAGTGCCCCGCCCCTCCCATCTCCTATTGGTCTGTGGGCAGGGCTTAGCGGCCAGTAGTATCTGTACCTCTCCTGCCTGAGAGCCAGGCTAGAGTGGAGGTGGGCAGACAGGCCTCAAGCCCTAGGATGACAGATTGATGAGGGTCTAGGGCTGATCCTATCTTGTTTTTGTTTTTCTGTAATGAGGGAGAGGGAGGGGGGAGAGGGAGGGGGCTGGAACTAAGTAAGGGCCTGGGCTCTGTCCTGTAGCTGGTGCTCTACCACTTGAGCCACACCTCTGCTTCCAGCATTTTGCTGGTTAATTGGAGATAAGTCCCATAGACTTTCAGGCTGGCTTCCTACCCCGATCCTCTCAGATCTCTGGTCGGTTGTGAGACTTGAACTCTGGGCCTGTGGGCGCTGTCCCTCAGCTCCAGGCGAGCGCTCTACCACTTGACCCACAGCACCACTTCTGGCTTTTTCTGCTTATGTGGTGCTGAGGAATCGAACCCAGGGCCTCATGCATGCAAGGCAAGCGCTCTACCACTGAGCCA